ATGTTTCTCATTATAAGAATAGAGAGTTAAGTAGAGATAGGACACAAGGTCTGATAACTGATTATCCCATAATAAGTATATTATATAAAATACCCATAGTAGGTACTTACCTTATAGATTATATTTAAAAGAAAACTATAAAATTTGACCAATGACACGGAATTTCAATGTTACATAAAATACACAAGAATATTTCTGCTGTAATTAATTTACTTAAAAAAAGTATACTGAAAAAGATTTTATTTTCCAAATATCTTATATATTCATTTCATATTTTAATGTCGAAACAATTTGCAGCTTAAAATTAAAGCTTACACAAAAGATGATAAAATTACAAATGGAATCTTGATTAAAACCCAAAACAAAATACAAACATCAAACAAACAGTTCACCTCTCCAACGTAATTTCAGTTCTTGATTATATTTGCGACGAGCCACGGACACGCCCCTTCCATCCCCTATTATATTAGCAACGACTACCAAAACGACTTAACTACATATAATTAATTATGAGATATCGACCTTTTCTCCTAATTCATAAGAGTTAAATTTCATAAAATAATATTCTATTATGTAAGTTGGTTCCGTTTTGATTTGTCTATAAAATAATACACTTTGCGCTTTGTCTGGTAGTCATTGGAAAGTAAGTGATGTTTAGCGTTCAATGAATTTAATTAATTAAAATAGTTTTTATTTGATTAACATAAAAAATACGTAATCAGCTTTATTACTTTATAACAAAACTTGTTAAATATATACAGTTAGTGCGTAGGAAGAGAACAAAAACAATAATATTAAAATTTAATAGGTATTAGCTACGCACGTCATAGGTCTACATAATAAATCGACGTAATGACTTGTCATAAAATGTTTGATATTATATATTATTTTCTTAGATTTACGCGAATGTTTGACATTTTTAAATAAAACTATCTTTTCGGATTATTTCGCGGATTTATTTTGATTATCAAAATAATCCGCGAAATAATCCGAAAAGATATTTTACTTAAAATTATATATTTTATTGAAAAATATCTATATATGTATTTAAATTTTACTTTACTTTTCTTTAAACCTAAACTATTTTAGCACAAACAGTACATTCATCATTACCTGCATCTCGATTCCGCTTTTGAAAAGAGTTCCGAACAATTTCTCGCAAATTTTTTATTCTTTGAATGTGCAATGCGAACGTTTGTATATAAATGCACAATGGAAGCGCGTTACTTGCATTGCTAAGAGGTTCTATTGTTTAATGCCACAATTAGTTGCGAATTCTGCTGCGAATGAAAGAAACTGCCCAAGTCGCCGACTGGACGTTGAGTGGGATGAGAACTTCTTGATACTCGCATTTTCTAGCTTATACTCTGCAGTATGCACTAGGTAAAACAGTAAGTCAAAACATATTTATTTGCATATATTTTTGTAGTACTATAAGTACCAAATGATGTTCAAAAGGATTCGAGAAATATATGTACATTGTATATATAATTAATTTACATATGTGAAACTAAGTAATCTTTCAGTTTGTTTAAATAACTTCCCAATAATCACATTTCAATCTGTTTTTTTGGAGGTTATAAAATATAACAAGTTTAGTTTACATCTTCTTATTTTAAGTTATCTTTTTATCTTTTACTAGCATTGCCCGCGGCTCCGCCTGCGTTCAGATGACCAAAAACTAAAGTCTTAGGTTTTACATATCAGTAGGTATAGGTACTCTTACATTGCAGTTTTTGTATTTTTTCTCAGAAATAAGACATTCTAAAAACTATAGTTTCGGGCTTTGTATCGACAATAATGTTTATTTCAATAAGAGTTTCCAAAAAATATTTAATGTACAGATTCGGCTTAGTTACAATTTTATGATATGTATAGATTTATATATTTCTTATCTTCAATTATAATTTTTCGGAGTAGTTGGTAAAAGCAAGGTGGGAAAAGATTATATTGTTCCAATAGGCAGCAATTTTAAACTGGTCCATTTGTGGCGTTTTATTTAAACAGTTAGATAAATATATTGAAGGTGTTATAAATTAATTCATTATAAGCAAGGTCAATTCCATACCTACTTCTAAGTCTTAAGTATGTATACTTATTCTTACGTGCTATAAAGTATTTTTTTAAAGAAAAGAAATTGTTGTTATTTTTACTTATAAATATTTTAGTTTATAAAGTATCAAAATGTAGTGATCGGCTTGTACCATATTTGGGCGGGCGGGGAACACTGAAGGTGGCCGTTGTCCGAATGACGGTAGATTCATGCATGAAATATAGAATGGAATATTATGGAATGGACGAGCGTAAAATGTTATGGATATACTCATATACGAGATATAAGTTTTATACGAAAAATAGTTTAAAAATTTTGTAAATCATCTATTTAAGCATATATGCTCTTAAAATTAATCATGTTCTCCATAAAATTAATTCGCTTAGAAACATAATTTTATAAAAAAATTATCAATAGCAGTGCTGAGAAAACTCAATTTTTTTTAATAATGTTAAACTACGTGACTGCCAAAACCAGCTCAGCCCTTTTAACTAGAATGACATCCATCTTTAAATTTAAACAAGTCTACAACTAAAAGCTTGATAAAGTGCAATTATTTCAAAATCATACACCGATATCTCAATTTTATTTATAAGTATAGATAGAACTGCCAAAACAATGATCAATTTAGCAATCACGCTTTACCGTGCGCTTCCTTTCCCATATGAGTTCTATTTAACAGGGTTGCTTTTAATATTTTTATAAAAAAATGTTTTTTCAAAACCTTTATATCTGAGATATTTGTATGAGGACAATACATTAATGATTTAATTTCATATATCAAGTGTTTTAGCCGCTAATTTAACAACATGCTACAACGCCATTACTAATGTTTTTTTTTAATTTGCCTGATACGAAAATTACACGTGTACGACTAAAAGACATATATATATATATATATATATATAAATATTAACTCGATATCTGTATTTGTATATAATTATTTATTAGTTATAATATATATATTTTTTGCTTATTTCTTGGCAGCTTAAGATTAATTTTCTAATAGATAGAATTTAAAAATATATAATAGAAACAATAATTGCGAGTTACATGCACCTACCGTACAGTAATGTAGAGTCGAAGTGGCAACCCTACGTCCAAAATATGTCTATTTCACGTTCACCTAGCCTCTATTGTTATTAAGCCAAAAAAAGTTTCCATTTTTCCATTGTTATGCTCTTTTGTTTTATGCAATGCATAGGCTTTAGATACTCGGTTTTTGTATAAATTGGGGAAGAGTTATACGGCACATAAATTCTACATATCTATCGAGTATATTGCAGTATGCTTATTAAAGTTTTCTCTTTGGAATATATTGTGGTGAAAAATTAATTAAACTTAATTAATTAGTTTTGGTGTTTTTAGTTTTGATTAGATTTGTTTTTTACTATTTGTGATTACCTGATTAGAAATACAAAAGAGGAGGTAGTGGTATAATTTTATTATAGTTTTGTTACACAGTAATATAAAAATATTTACTCAAAAACGTCACATGAACACTATAATATTATAGGTATTGTTTGTCTATTTAATAACTCATTTCATTATTTCGATGGGTTTAATCAATACAAAGTGGTGGTTGTTGACATAATAGACATATACAGGCAAAGGAATAATAAATTATGTATATGTCACATTTAGTATGCACTCGTACATACATATATTACCTATAAAGATATAGATAGACAGATATACTATTAAAATCTCATCAAATACTAATCAAAATTATGTTTGCTTACATCAATAATATAAGATTCAATGTAATAATGTATATATTTGATATACTTATCTGTACATATAATAAGATTGTAACTAAGCCGAATCTGTACATTAAATATTTTTTGGAAAATCTTATTGAAATAGGTATTATTAATTATTATCGATACAGATGCCGAATCTATAGTTTTTAGAATTTGTGTCTGTCTGTCTGTTACCGCATCATACGGAAAAATCACTGGAGGGATTTTGATGAAATTTGGTATAATAATAGCTGGTTATCCGGGCCAATATATAGGATACTTTTTACCGCGGGAAAATATCTTACTTCTGAGAAAAAATACAAAAACTGCAAAGTAAACTGTAAAAGCTAAGAATTTGGTTTTTGGTCATCTGAACGCGGGCGGAGCCGCGGGCAATGCTAGTCCTTTAATAAATACGCAATTATTATAAATCATGTTCAAAGACGTAATGAAATAATTCACTACAGGTTAATGAAGCAGCATAACAAATTATAATATGACTCGCAAATAGAGGATAATCACTTCTAATGTGAAACTCATAAAGTGTCTACTATATAGTGAACAACGATTTTATTTCAACGTTAAAACTAATATTCTATCCTTATAAGAATTTAACTCGGGTTCTCATCTTAGTAGGCAGTGCCCAACAAATATTAACACCTCCAGGTAAATTCTAAGAAATTAATTAAATTTCTTAGAAATCTATTGTTAACTGTAACGCCGGCGTGGTCTCCACGACCAAAACAAATAATTGGCGCTTCAAACAGGCCACTAACAATGATAGTTTAGCTGTAGCATCGGCACATTGTTTATAAGCACGTATGCAGTATACTATACACCACATAGTTATCGAAGGTAAGCCGTATATACGACCTTAAATAATGAGAGGGCGCATCTCATCTTCGCGGTGTAATTATTTCTCCTTCAGCCGCCTACCTGGCGTGATGAGGTTGCACTATGCATTAGGTGATGACGTCACTACTTGATGAGAAACTTACCGTTTGTTACAGTTTTACTACTACCTATTATTCGTAGATACATATGCCAAGGTGTTTTTAAAAGAAAACTCTTCAACACCTAGTACATGCATATATTATTTTTTTACGATCACTTTAAGTGCTTTGTTAATTAATTTACTCATTATTTTGTTATAGTGTTAAGAAATTTCATTTTAATTCCATTAATGAATGAAATGTACGGGATTATTTTTTTAATAATACAAGCCTTTTCCTACTATTTAGATTGTTTGTCGCATTCAAATTTTGAATATGAATTTCCACTAGTTGTCTTACGAGATTTGTTGTGTCCACATTAGTATGGACTATTAGTTCAAATACTTTCAACTGCTCTAAAGCTTTCCAATCGTCCTTATGTTTTATAGCCACATTGAAAAGTTCATTCATAACATCCTTACATTTCTTAACCATGCTTAAAATAAACCCAGCTTTATACGGTCCAGCATCTCTATGTTTATTTTTTAGATCTTTCATGTCAGTTATTTTAGTTCCAGTATCGTGAAGTGTTTGATCGATAAGTGTTGAAATTTTACTTTTAATCTTCTCATCTTTATCGTCTTCGCTTGTTTCAACATCTTTTAGAGGTTTTAAATTAAGATCAGATGTCACTAGCCAGTATCTTCTATGATTTTGTGGTGGAGCCAAAGTTGTTTCTTGTGACGTTTGTTGGAGCCAAAGTTGTTTCTGTTCTTGTTTAGAGTCAATTGACTGTAAATCAATATATTTTAACCCGATGCTGTTGTGTAGTGCAGCTATAAAAGGTTTTTCTACATAACTATGTAATTTCTATGATGTGAACTATTGTGAATTTAAATATAGCTACCTATAGATATACCAGACACCTATACCACAGTTTTACAATTATGGATTGTAAAACACTAATCTTTTAAATATTTTATGTTACTTATATAAAAAAGTAGAATTTGATTTATAATTTTGTAACTTTTATAATTTTATTTGTTTATTATAGCTATGTTTATAAAATTTCTGTTCTAAGTTCAAACAAATCTATATATATATATAAAAGAAAGTCGTGTTAGTTACTTCGCTTATAACTCAAGAACGGCTGAACCGATTTAGCTGAAAATTGGCAGGGAGGTAGTTTAGAGCCAGGAGAAGGACATAGGATACTTTTTATCCCGTTCGACCGCGTTCCAATTTTTATGATATTTTAATTTTTGGATTTCTCTTAGTCCGGAATAGGTAAGTATTAAAACATATAATTAAAATGTGAGAAAGAAAGATTTTTTCTTTTTATATCTATTTAAAACGTACCTAGCGACGAACCCGAGCGAAGCGAGGGTGAGCCGCTAGTGACTTATATATCTATTAACTAGCAGCTCACCCTCGCTTCGTCCCTAGGTGATTCTTTAAATTGACATAACTTTTTTATTTATGAACCGATTGAAATAAAGCCCCATCCAATTCGGTTAAGCCGTTTTGGAGATTAGCGCGCACAAACACACAGACAAACAGACAAAAATTCTAAAAAACATTGTTTTGGGTTCTATTGCGTTAATAAGGACTCACTCAATACTAAATTTTCTCAAATATCTTCCATGTGCAGACAGCGATCGGTTACACTTTTATTATATGTATAGATATACAAAGTATATACTTACACAAGTAAAAAAATAACCTTATTATCATGTTATTATACACATGACAACTTTACAAATATATTAAGTCAAAATAAAAAGAAAATATAGGTAGGTACACGTTTGCAGATTTAAGATCTCATATCTTTACAATTAGATTTTAATTGCATATTATGCTGTTTATTGTCATTGTTAACTGTTAAGTGTGATTACATTCTACTTTGTATGAAGTTATGACATTTTGGTGTATAGGTACAATAATAAAAATTCATTTAATCTTAATAAAAAATATCAGTCGGTATAATACTTTCTTAGATTTACGCGAATGTTTGACATTATTAAATAAAACTATCTTTTCGGATTATTTCGCGGATTTATTTTGATTTTTGGTTCCCGACGTTTCGAATGCTTTACAGCATCCATGGTCACGGGAGAGACTGAGGTGTTACATGTCTTAAAGATATAAAAGTATATTTTAATAGTGTTGCTTAGTAAGTTGTTTTTAAATAATAGCAAACAAAATTAAAATGATTATCCGTAATTAATTTTAACTTTTTAAATTACACATAGAACAATTATATGGCTTTAATAATTAATACTATATTTTTATATTTTTATTTATGGTTATAAATATAATAATGGCAACACTAAATATAGATTACTAATTAATATTTTTAAAATTGTAGTAATTATAAAAATAATAGCAAAAATTAAATAAATAATTTTCCATATTCAATTATAATTAAAATTATAAAAAATGTTTAAAGTTAAAAATATTGTAATGTAATTGGTGCAATTTTCATTTTGTTAATTGTGGGTAGGCTGTCTGTAACAACTATATCTTTAAGACATGTAACACCTCAGTCTCTCCCGTGACCATGGATGCTGTAAAGCATTCGAAACGTCGGGAACCAAAAATCAAAATAAATCCGCGAAATAATCCGAAAAGATAGTTTTATTTAATAATATCAGTCGGTGTTTCACTTAATTTTCATAAAAGACTCCATTTTCCGAGCAATAAATACCTAAATTTAAGTTCGTGATTAAATAAAAATCCATGTGTGTATGTACGTTAATGTTTCCTATGGACTCCAAAACAGCTGGAGCGATTTTGATGAAATTTTCAGGTAATCTTCAGATTAGCCCAGCGGGTGATCCTGTAAATTTTGTTAGCGATCGGAAGTTTGGACGCAGGCGAAGCCGCGGGTACTGCTAGTATTATATATAATGTATAACATTATGTAAAATTAAAAAATTAGGTATTTGATCCGTGAAAAATGGATCGATCAGATAATATTGTTCATATTGGTGAGGGCAGACAAAATGTAAGCTTTTATTTAAATGCTCTAAAAAGAAAAAAAACTTTAAATCAAATCAAACCCATCAATTTATTACATTACACAATTCATATGATATAAAAGCTTGTCGCGAGAATTACCAATTTAAAAAACATATTATTTTTTTTTACATTTTCTTTCTTGTTTATCTAAACAGTTATATTATTATCGAAATCTATTGTGTAATTGGCACAAATTCAGAATTGGGGACTTGGCCCCTAGCGGAGTGGGTGATATTTCTGGATAAGGGACGTGATAGGGAGTCGAAATGTTAAATAAATTTTTTAATACAACAAAAGATTCAAAAGTTATTGAGACTTAAAGTTACAACATTTCCATACATTTTCATATATTTCTTTACCACCATTCGGAGTGGGTGGTATTTTTAGATAGGGGAGGTGACAGAGAGTCAAAATATATTAAAAATATTTGGAGGAAACGTACGACTAAAAAGTTATTGAGACTTAAAGTTATAACATATCTAACACATTTCCATACATTTCTTTACCTAAATAAGTGATTACAACAGATAAACATACCTTTAACGAATAGTATGCATCCTTTTTTATGTACATTACACATTTTCACAACAATTAATGCTTTATTGTATTTAATATTTTAATAATTTCACAACACAAACAAAATGATCTTACATTTTGACAAAAGCAAAACTGACACTTTGTTTTATATTACCGCTTAAATGACAACAGATTATATTTGATTATTTTTGCTTTTTCTGTTGGTAAAATATTAATATTAATAAATAAATAAATAAAAAGAAAAATATTATTTTCACTTTATAAATACATTTATAACTTTTTATTTGATTTATGTAAAATATATTGTTTTACAATTGTACATTTAGTAAAAAAAATCATTTTTTTATCTGTGAATATTTTTAATTATTTATTTATTATTCGTCATATCTTGGTTAGGTTAGGTTAGAACATTTAAGATTATTTATTTATTATTCCTCATATCTGGGTTAGGTTAGGTTAGAACATTTAAGATTATTTATTTATTATTCCTCATATCTGGGTTAGGTTAGGTTAGAACATTTAAGATTATTTATTAATTATTCGTCATATCTTGGTTAGGTTAGGTTAGAACAGTTGCCACAACGCACGAGCCGAGCGAGCGAAGCGAGCGTGCCGCGGTAGCGGCCGGCGAGTGCCATAAATGACTAGAAAACTAGAAAATTCGAATTTCACGCAAAGTACAAATAAAGACAATCATCTGGAGATCATTTTGACAATTGAAAGTGACGTTTTGACTCCAAGTGTCTAAATGGTAGTAATGTCAAAATAATGTATGGAAATGTTATAACTTTAAGTCTCAATAACTTTTGACTCTTTTGTTGTATTAAAAAATTTATTTAATATTTCGACTCCCTATCACGTCCCTTATCCAGAAATACTACCCACTCCGCTAGGGGCCAAGTCCCCAATTCTAAACGGCCGCCGTGTAATTTAATATAAGTTGATGGGTTTGATACAATTTAAAGTTTTTTTCTTTTTAGAGCATTTAAATGAAAGCTGAATTAAAAAAATACAATTTTTTTTATAGTTATCATACTCTTCTCATCAAACTATTTCATTTGATATCAATATCATGGGGATGCATAAAAAAAACAATCTGCCATCTTTGGGAATCTGCCAAATTGGATTTAGAATGACGTCACTTAGATAAATAATTGCATTGTCATCCAAACTTAACGTGTAGGTATGCAAAATTTCAGCTCAATCAGTTGAAGATAACAGCTGTAAAATTAAGTTGCAAGATTTGACCCGAGCAAAAACATTGCAAGTTAAATAAAAGCTTGTAATTAATTAAGTTTGTGTACTTAACCATATGGAGATTCTTTAGACATATTTCCAAAAATTAGATAGAAATCTCTAAATAACTTGTAAACTAAATTGGAGAACTACACACTTAACCAAACTTCTTAACTCGTAAAAATGTTTTTTTTTTTAGTGTTAAAGGCGTTGTCTTGATAATTGTCTATATATTTGGGTTTTTTTTTCTTTTTAGTGCCAAAGATAATGTGTCAGTGACAAATGTCTGGTCTGTTAATATGTCATTAAATTATAGGTATTTTTAATAGATAAAGTAAATCATGTTAAAATCTTCAATAAAAAAATTATGTATAAACTTTCGAGTACAACTTCGTATATTACAAAATAAAAATTGTCATAGCTTATTCGGGATCAAGGAGTTAATCCGACAGGAAAAAGTGAGTATCCATTCAAAGAACTACAACTAGATATATTATGTAGCTAATAACTAAATTAAATTGGGATAGACGTTTTCTTGTCCATATTTTATTTCGTTTGTTAACTTAGAATTCATAACTTCAGTTAAGTTCTTCACAAATTTCGTAATTTTCCGAGAAACCGTTTTCCAAATAAAGTATTTAAGACGATTATTGCGATTCTTTTAAAATAAAAAAGATCATTATCAGTCCAGTCGTTCTCAAGTGATGTGTTTACCAACGCACAGCATTCCACTTTTATTTGCAGAGATTTGTGTGTATAATAAATAAATAGTCAAAAAATCTCTACATGAATGTGATCAATTAATCTAAAGTAGATATATTATTCGACTTACTTACTTTCCCTTCTGTTTTAGAAGTAAACGTAGATACTACGCTTTGTTTCAACCGCATCGAATCAAACATATATAGGCAATACAAATATTTACCCGATACAAGATTTGAACTTGTGGCTCCGGGATAGTAAACAATGCCAGTCAGAGATTATTCTAATGCGACGTACCTAAGCACAATAATAATTTTTAGTATTAAATTAGATACCTTTTCAAAAATAGCTTCAAGCTTAAGCTTTCCGAAATCCTTTTTCAATACACTTACTAAGCAATGCAGTAAATTCAGTTCAATAAGATTATCCGGTAAATCACACTAGTTTTTTTGCACACATTATAGGTTATAAGAGGTCGATGACGATCAAATCCATCATTAAAAAATCATCTCAAAATTTCATAATTATCTATACATATAATAAAATTGTAACTAAGCTGTACATTACCTATATATTTTTTGGAAAATCTTATTGAAATAAACATAATTATTATCGATACAGAGGTCAAAACTATAGTTTTTAGAATTTTTGTCTGTCTGTCTGTTACCGTATCACAGAAAAACCACTGGAGGGATTTTGATGAAATTTGGTATGGTGATAGCTGGTTATCCGGGTCAACATATAAGATACTTTTCACCTCGGGAAAATATATCATTTTTGAGAAAAAATACAAAAACTACAATGTAAGAGTATACTAATATGTAAAACCTAAGAATTTGGTTTATGGTCACCTGAACACCCTCGGAGCCGCGGGCAATGCTAGTCTACTACAATCACTTAATACCTATTGAATATAATATGTGATGATTCATTTTAATTTTTTTACTAAAATATGTTAAGAGTACCAATATAATAACAATGATAATCATAAAATGTAACTAATAACTCAATTCCTTACTTTACTTTCGATAAATAATACCTACACACTTTCTAGCCAGAAGCTTTCACTATACAGCCAGTACAAAGTAGCGATCATGAGATAGGTATGGAAACGGTAAAACGATACTATCTGAGAGACCATATATTTGTGCGCGCGCGCAATATGAACATTTCTGAGGACCGCGCTGTTGATGAATATTTGCTTGGCCTTCTTAAACAAGGTTTGTATTACTTAAATAAAGTTAAGACACTGAGGTGATAACTGAGAGTAGTAACTCTGTATAATTATGCAAAATATATTTAGCCAAAACAATAGGTACAATTAAATGCTTGGAAAATTGTATTTTGACCGACTTCCAGAGGAGAAGGTTCTAATTCATCTGTATATAATATATTTATATAAAAATATACAAAAGCAGTTTAATTTCTTTGACAATTTGCTATCACTAAACGAAGTATGTGCTTGGAACTGAATTCTGTACGAGTATAATGTACTTGACAGAAATTCATATATTTTTAGTGTGTTTATCTGGCTACTTTTTAGCTAGTTGTAAAACTATAGATAATGTGATTTATTCGTATACTAGTAGTATAAAAAGAATGAATTAATTATTTCTATTTAGGCAATTCGTTGTATGCAAAAACCGAAGACGACACAGTGGCAGGCCTTTGTGTAAACTTTGCTGTAAGCCCAGTGGACCCACAAAACTTGCGAAATTACGCCTTTTATAGACAAGTAAAGTTATTCAATACTATCATTTATATCTGTATAAGAGACGTTATCTTATAATATTAAATGAGCAATTCCTGTATATATATAAAATTTCGTATATCTCAGAAGCGGCTAATGATTTCAATCAAATTTTATTAAGATAAGGTTTTTCTATTTATGTTTATATACAAACAAAAAATACGAACGTACAAAACGCCGAGCGAACCTCGGTCGCCCAGGTGCTATTAATAATGTATGAAAGTAGATGCTAGGAAAACAATAGTTAGAAAATTGTAAATGCAATGAAATTTTTTAACGACCTATAAGCTACCTTTTCTAAAAAAATGTATGCAGCTATCTTCAATCGTTTAAGTTTGTCTTTGACATAATGAAACAATAATTAAAAAAATAAGCATTAATAACTAAAAACATATTGGCAGCGGTGGGATTCGAACCCACGCCTCCGAAGAGACTGGTGCCTTAAACCAGCGCCTTAGACCGCTCGGCCACGCTACCCTCATTACGCGACTTGGGAAATAGGAACGTGTGTTTAATATAGTATAGAAATACGTTAATATTAATTTATAGGATCCTAACACCAAGGACTTTCTCTACTTTATTGCGAAACTGCAGGAAACACCTAACCTCTGGACTATTTTCAAGCAACCTAAAATTTTTGAGGTTATACTATTTACATTTTTTTTAATTTCTTTATTAAATTAAATTCTACGTAGTAATAAATCGTGGCCTATTGACGACGCACATGTTATGGTGCCAAACGCCGAGACAAACCTCCAAATTCAAATGTATATGCATGATACATAGATGCCATAATATTTCATAGTCCATGTGTGGGCGTGAACAAAACAGTTTAGCGCTGAGCATGAATCTGCGACCTCCGGCGTATTAGAACATTCCACGCAGCGACCGTACGACAAGGAGAGTCTATGTTATATACTTACTTTATTAAAATAATTATTAAAAAAATTAATATGACATTATTTTAAGTTATAATTAATATAATTCCTATTTTCGAAACCTTGAAAGACAATGGCGGTAATAACCATTGTATTATGACATATTTATTTATGTTATAGATAAAAATGTTAGCAGTATTACCAGAATATCGACGACAGGGTTTGAGTATTATGCTAGCTGAGAAATCAAAAGAGCTAGCTCAAGATCAAGGATACCAGTTGATACGAATGGACTGCATTAACCCTTATGAGTAAGAAAAAAATCTTTATTACTTTAAAGATGGGGAATCTTAATGACAATAATACAAAAAAAAGGTTTAATTACATCAAAATAAAATGAAATATCTATAAAAAATACATTTTCCCATATTTCAATGAACAGCTAACATAATGGTCACAGAACCCAAAATGTTAATTTGCTATAGGTACCGGACAATGACATAATCGTCGGTATCTAACAAACTTTTGCAAAAAGTATTTAATGGCATGAAATTTTTAAATTTATTTTAATCTATACATATAATAAAATTGTAACTAAGCCGAATCTGTACATTAAATATTTTTTGGAAAATCTTATTCAAATAAACATTATTATCTATACAGAGGCCGAATATATAGTTTTTAGAATTTTTGTCTGTCTGTCTGTCTGTCTGTTACTGCATCACAGAAAAACCACTGGAGGGATTTTGATGAAATTTGGTATGGTGATAGCTGGTTATCCGGGTCAACAAATAGGATACTTTTTACCGCGGGAAAATATCTCATTTCTGAGAAAAAATGCAAAAACTGCCATGTAAGAGTGTACTAATCTAAAATCTAAGAATTTGGTTTTTGGTCATCTGAACGCGGGCGGAGCCGCGGGCAATGCTAATTTCTTATATATGTTTAGCAGACATATAATGGCAGTATATATACATACAATTCGTATAGGTAATGTTGGTTAAGTTAACCAAACATATGTTGAAAAGACATTTAAATCTTTAGAATTTTCATGCAATTTTTCAACATGATTACCAATGGCTTTAAATGAAAATATTGTAACTAGTTTTCAAAAGATATGTGAAGTGTGGTGGTTTATGGCTTGATCTTTCTTATAAAGGTGTGATCTGTGCCCTTTGGTGGGACGTTAAAGTGTTAAATGAATGGCTCTAAAACAATTTTTTTTTGGTTAATACAAATAAACCATTTACACCTCCAGGTAAATTTCTAAGAAATTAATTAAATTTCTAAGAAATCTATTGTTAACTGTAACGCCGGCGTGTCCGTGGTCGTGGAGGGATTAAGTATTATATTGTTTCAGCTATAAAATAGCTGAACGCTGTATGCTATCTTGTATAGTGAGATATCCTCTTCACAAGCTGCGCGGTATAAATGCTCCATTCATCAAACGCAGTTCGGAATACAATAAATACATGCGTGTATATATCGGAAACGTACAGAAAGACGCGACTGAAGTTAATTTTAAACACACCCAAGTTGATTTAGAGAGCATGATTGAATGATTTTTTTTTGCATTGCTTATAGCTTTTGTGAATTGTGATAAATGCTTAAATTATTTGTTTTTATATTAAATAGTTTATTTAAGATCATTTGTATTATTATCTTTCAGCGATATCATTTCTTTTGTTTTTCTTCAAAGGAACACTTATCATTTAACCTACGCTTTAAATGAGATAATTTAATATATGTTTTATTACAGAATTTTTATATTATATACATATATTATAAAATGGTCAATATATGTACATTGTACATATAAAAATTCCATTATACCTAATGTAGATAAATTTTTAGAAATTATTCATCTCATTTGTTACCTATCTGGATTAAGGACCATTTTACCACCACTGCTTTATAAAGAATGATTTTGAATGTTAAATTGTTATTATATAGATTTATTTTCAACCGACTTCTTCAAAAAGGAGGAGGTTCTCAATTCGGCTGTTTTTTGTATTATATAGGCTCATTCTTAGCACAATTTATCATTAAAAAAAGGGATTAGAAAACGTGAATATATTAAGAAGCAAAGCCACAAAACATAAATAAAAATTGAGAACCACCTTTTTTTGAAGTCAGTTAAAAAGCAATACATTCACGGACAAAACCGCCAGCAGCAACTATTATGACAAAAGAGCAAGGAAGTATGAAATGATAAAACTTAAACAGTATTCGATATATTTATTAACTATAAAGTATAAACCAATATAAAATAATTATAATATTATCTAATCATAGCATTTCTTATGCATGAAATAATTACAACAATGACTGGTCGAATGGTACATTTGATTTTAAACTAGCGAGTTACGCTCGCTTCGCCCGGGGCGTCTCTAGCTACGCGGATTTAGTTCAACACTAAGTATTTTTCTAAAGTAATAATAGCCTAAGTCCTTATAATATAGGCAATATGCCAGTAAAAGTCCCGTCAACATCAGTCCAGTCGTTTCGGAGATTAGCTGGAACAGACAGACAGACAAAAAATTAAAAAGTGTTTGGTTCTTATAAGTATAGTGTATACTTTCAAATGCATTTAGTAAGAAGCTGTTATTTTGACATTACAGACAGACACTTCAATTTTATTTATCTGTATAGATAATGATACTAAGTGAAAATGAGATTTCATGATAAGTTTTCAGTTTTAATAATTTAAAGAAGATAAGGCTTTATGATATTCTCAGTGAACCATTCTTCAGTGAATCGTAGATGGTCTCCAGGTTGAGAGAGAAATACTAATTTGCCAGCTTTGTTCATCTTTTTTAGTCCAAGGCGATCCTGCAAATAGATTTACATAATATATATGTTATGTTATTTTAAAAGTTTATATGATATTGTCGTAAATGATACGGGGTTTTATAATTACTAGCGTTTTCGCCTAGTGGTCCCTTTACTATAGAATACGTACATTATATTTGCAACTTTGATGCAAATGAAACAACGTGCCTGGTTGTCTAGTGGTTAGTATATATGGCTACAAATCCAGAGGTCCTGAGTTCGAGTCCCAGTCGGGTTTTTCTGTCAAGACGTTCTCACCTATTGCCATCATGCTGCCTGATCTCTCATTGGTCGATAGGATTGGACTGGATGTCGTCTCACCGGAGTATGAGAGTGACAGTCATAGAGTGCACGTTGTGTTTGCGCGCATACATGTGCACTATATCTCCTGCACAGATGGCTAATCTCAGTGAGATTGGCCACCGTTGCCGATATCGTTCAAGAGAACATGATTTTTAATCCATCCACGACCGCGGACATACCGGCGTGTCAGTTAACAATAGATTTCTCAGAATTTTAATTAATTTCTTAGAAATTTACCTGGAGGTGTTAATATCAACACAATTAAATTTCATACATACCTTCTTATATAATATTGATTGCTGTAAAGGAATCAATTTCTTCGCCTGACCAGGTGCATAGAATCCGAACCACTCAGTTTCCCGAGGCTGGACTATACTGTCGTTCTCAAACTTGACCATCACAAAGTGCTCTAATTTATTTAAGTTTTCGATATAAGTTTGATTTATCTTCCTCTCGTTGTTTATATCTGCGAGGAATTCGCTGTGTTTTCTATACGTCGCTTCGTCCAGTGGGTCATGCCAGTAAGTTGCTTGAACAAGGGATTCTTGAACCCAACTAAAATAAGATATTTCGTTAAGAGATAAAATAATAATATTTTTTTAATTTATATGTAGATCTATTTTTTAGGCTTTTAACTAACAATGAATGGGAATTTTTACAGTTTTGGTTTTTAATCGTTGCTAAAAAAACATATTTGTTTTGACAGCTTAAATATATAAGTTAATTTCCTATAATGAAATAAAAAAATATGTCATCAAACAATGTTTAGACTTTAGAGACGTAAAATAATTAAATTTGGCATGAATCAATCGAAAGAAAATAACTATAAAGTAGGCTAAGTGATAAAATTAACCGATATACAAACGATTAGCGACGGTCCGGAAAGTGTTGTAACTAGAGCAAATCTTTAGTACCGTAAGCAAATATTACTTTTCTCTCATAATGCATTATCTATGCAGCTAATATATTAATTATTGCACATCTATACTAATATTATAAATGTGAAAGTGTGTTTGTTTTTTTGTTATGATAAGATAAAAAAATTATTTCATACTAACCGTTACGCCGTACTTAGGGACGAATGAAGGGCGATGAGCCGCTATTAGGTATATAGAATTACTTTTGGTGTTTGTGTATTAGGAGGAGTATTTCAGAAGTAGGTCAAGTAGGCCAAGTAAAATTCGATGTAAAAGCACACAGTTTTTATTATTTTGTACAAAGTCAGAGGAACACCTCAAACAACATTACATATTAGTATGTCATTATTACCTAGTACCTACATATTATAACAAAATTCTAACTATGTAATCCGAATCTGTACATTATATTTTGGAAAATCTGATTGAAATATACATTATTATCGATACAGAGGCCTAATCTATAGTTTTTAGAATCTTTGTCTGTCTGTCTGTCTATGACCGCATCACGAAAAAACCACTTGACAGATTTTGATGAAATTTGGTATGATAATAGCTGGTTATCCGGGTCAACTATAGGATACTTTTTACTGCGAGAAAATATCTCATCTCTGTGCTAACCGTCAAAATGTAACTAAGGACGAACCCTAGCGGAGCGAGGGTAAGTCGCTAGTTAATTCATAAAACAAAACAATGCTTTTCCCGCCCTTTTTCCACTCAAGATGACAACTTACAGAATCAAATAATTATACATATAAAACCTATTTTTATATAATAAATAATGTATATATAATTTATATTATTGTTAAAGTATAACATTCGTAATTCGCATGGTCAAATTAAGTAAAATATTGTTATAGTCAACTTTTAATACCAATCAGTACAAACAAGGGAATAATAATTTATATTTATGGTTTAGCATAAACATTGACGGATAACCTTTGACTGTTGGCCAAATAGCCACTCGTGTGTATGACCCACGCTCTACAGTGCGCATACAAAGATCGTAATATGTACATAAAGCAAGGGTAAATAATGCGTTTTCCTTGAACAATGACGAAATGCCACAAAAGATAATGTTCAAATCATATACAAACTTCTAGAAAATTTGGGTAAACTCTGGATTTACCTCAATCTAGATAAGTCATACTCATAAATAAAATTTTAAATCCTTTAAAGTTTTCATATGATATCAAAATCGCTGCAAAAAAATTTAAAGGACTTCCTTAGATAAAAAAATAATTATTTGAAACTATATTAAACTATATTTTATGTAAACTATTGTGTTGTTAATCAGTGATAATCTGTTAATTAGTGATAGATAAAGTGTTTATGATAAGTTACGCGTCTTTAGCCTCTATATATATATATATATATATATATATATATATATATATATATATATATATATATCGTCTACTATATATATATATATATATATATATATATATATATATATAATAAATAATAGAAAGTATGTGTATGAATAATATGGGTATCATTGACTCTTGAAATAAATACTCAAAGATAAAAAATAAAGTACCTACATAATATATTTTTATGTGGTAAATATATTTGTGCGTTAAAGGTTTGTAGACGCGACATTTAGATAGAGACGTCAAACGAAAACGAAACTCAAAGCAAATATTCGAACGGTCAACATAACGAGTATATGCAAAAAGGATTTATAGGACAAATACTCATTATAGCCTTTAATAATTTTGACAGTATAAATACGATTGAGTATACAGCTTTATAATAAGAAATCTTAAAACCTATGAACATACATAGATGACTGTATTGACAGTTCATTTCTTCATCACTCTCAACAGCGAGCGAGTTTATTTTTCATTTTTTTGTTTGTTTGTTTTTGTAAGTTTGACCACGCCAATTTCTTGAGCTACCAGTCTGATTTGAAAAATTATTATTGCCTTATATAGCCTACTAGCGACTCACCCTCGCTCCGCTCGGGTTCGTCCCTACTTACGTTTTATCGTTTAGTATATATATTTCTCAGGGATGAGATATTTTCCCGCAATAAAAAGTATACTATATGTTGACCCGGGTAACCAGCTATCATCATACCAAATTTCATCAAAATCTCTCCAGTGGATTTTCCGTGATGAGGTTGTTACCGCCTGTCTGTTGTTACAGTCTGTTGGCAGACAGACAAAAATTCTAAAAACTATAGATTCGCCCTCTGTATCGATAATAATGTTTATTTCAATAAGATTTACCAAAAAATATTTAATATACAGATTCGGCTTATAAGCTTATAAGACTACAGTCTGATTCATAGAGTATATTGCTACATATAGTCTGATTTTTAATTCGGCGGAATTCTGACATTTCAGAAATGTTGTCAGCTTTGAAACATTGTCACTAAAAACGGAAAGCATTTTAGCAAAATAAAAAAATAAACCTTTCTTGAATTTAAGGTTTCAATTAGAAAAACTAAGACTTAAAAAAACATTGATAGCTCTAAAATGGTAATTATTTTTTTATTATCATATTATCGAAGTTAGAATAATTATTAAGGAAATTATTTTTCTATTATAGGAATCCCTGTTCAATAATACATAGATTGTAAGCCTTTTTTTAGGAAAACCCCTTTTTTTTGTAAAATCTTTGCAATTGGTAAAAAGAAATGGAAAGTCCCAAAAAGACAGGTCCACAACGATCGTTCACGATTTTTTATTATTGTTTTTGGCAAGAATGCATAAACCATATTATAAAAAAGGATAAAATGTGCCCTCTTAATGATCTGATGGATAGTGTGTGTGATTCTTTTATAATCCGAGTGGATGATGACGACAAGGATGATATAAGTAATAATGATTAGTAAATATTTTCATTTCTTATATTTTGTTTTACTCTGTTTTTTTTTTCATTTAACCATTAAAAAAATTAACATTATAGTTAGTGTGCATTGAATGCACAAAACAAAGACTATTTACAATGTCATATATATAGTTTAATATATCTAATTCTGTTTCATATTTTTGGTTATTTTATATTAAAATAAAAAAATACAAAGCAGAAAAGGTTTATGATATCTGAATTGTCAAAAAATGATAGCTGTCATATTTCCGTGAAATTAAAAATCAGACTATAGTTACAATTTTATTATATGTATAGATTATTAGATATTATTAGAAGGTTATATAAAGGCTATCTTATATTCCTCTACGATCATAAGGTGTGAAAATATTATACTTATATCTAAAGACATTCTTCAATTCATCAACAAAGCATTGTTACTTTGATTAATATCCTATTACACAAAGCCTAGTCATAACTTTAATGCTGCCAGTCTGTAAATGCCAAGAATTATACGAGAAAATTACATCAGATAAATTACTTACTTAGGTAATATTACCGCCACTGACATAACTTTTAAATAGTTTTCTGCTTTCTACATGACAAAGCACACATCATTCTATTTTAATGAAATGATAAAAATTAAGTTTTCTAATTGAATATTAGCCTTTTAACCCCTTATGGGATGAATTTCGAAAAATGCTAAAACACGTATTTGTTTAATTGTATTGAAGAGCATTTAGGTATACCAAGTTTCAAGTAATTCTGATCATAATTTTTTTTTTGGGTTGTATTATAACGTCACTCTCCAGCCCTCCAACTATCTCCACACAAAAATACGCCATACCGTCACTCTGTTTCGATGTGAAAGAAGGACAAACTAACAAACACATTTTCACTTTTATAATATTAGTACATAGTATATATGGAACTAAGGATATTTTTTATATACATATACCCTCTTGTATACCTATACTTGGCCAGATTTTTAACGATACTATAATGGCTTTACCGATATAAAAATGACTACAATCAATTGTTATCTAAGAAAAATTCTCCCTTATATGGATCTACGGACGGACGGAGATTGCATCGCATGTAGATTAACGGATATCCCCTACACCGGTGTTATTATATGCACATTACTCGCATCTGAAATGATTTATCTACCTATAAATAGTAAATACTCACGCATAGCATTGAATTAAAAATTTTAACATTTCATATTGTAAACAAAATTCTTCGTTTACGCAGAAACATACTGAGTTAGATTTTTTTTATTATTAATCGGGTACGAATTATTGCAAATGTACATTAAATTTACGCTGATTAAATTTCTCGAGTGTTTTTTTCGGAACTAACGAGAGCAGTTTAATTTATCGTGTGTAAGTGTTTTGATATTTCTATAATCGTTATAGTTGTGTGTTTATAAGTCGAAGTTAGTTCTGCGTTATGTCGGTAGGTAATCTTATCACAGGGGAGAGAATAATTATCTTTTATTTATTCAGTAACGGTGAATGCCCAATAACTTATCAATGCCACTGGAGGGATTTTGATGAAATTTGGTACGATGGTACGATTTTACTGGTTTATCGGGTCAACATATAGGATACTTTTTACCGCGGGAAAATATCTAATTTCTGAGAAAAAATACAAAAACTGCAATGTAAGAGTATACCTAAGAATTTGGTTTTTGGTCATCTGAACGCGGGCGGAGCCGCGGGCAATACTAGTTAAATTATAAACGAGAAAGTTTATCTTACGCATTACTAACGATGACGTTCACGATAAATATAGACATTTGCCGTAGTGCAAGTACATTGAAAGTATGGTTTCTGAATACCTAGTAAGGGCAAGGATTTTATATGGTTATCTATTTCGCTATTCTAGCCTAGAATATGTGTTTTTCCAAATTAAAAAGCAGCCATATGGCCATATGGATGGATAATATTATCTCCAAGCTACGAAACACAAGCCGACACTAAATTCTTAATAATTTTTCTATAGTTTAATATTAAAGAATATTCATACCTGTAATATGCGGCATAATTAAGTAGTTTCCGCACGTAGTCACAGGACTCATGTTGCAGAGCGAAACAGTGCGGCAGACCATATACACCTTGATGTTGCCCGCCTAATGTTATTAGGTTCTTTATTGGCCCTAGTTTATGTCCACATCGTTGCACTACTGCACGTCTGGTAAATAAAAATATATAAGATAAAATACTTTATCAATCGATCCTGCTAGTTTGTGTGCTCAATTGAACCACGACATGATGTCCTCCTGAGCGATTTCGGACACGGCGGTACATCTCACTGAGGCTAGCCAACTGCACAGGAGATATTGTAGTGCACAAATTTTCGCGCACACACAAGTGCACTCTAATCCTTTCTACTCTTAAGTGCGATGGGACGATACTTCGACACAACTGGTGAAAAAGCACAGGACCGAGCCATGGGAATGTAACAACGTAAACTTCTCTATGAGGTTCTTAATAGAAAAACTCAATAAATATACTTGGCCCAACCCAGGATTCGAACCCAGGACTTCCAAATCTGCTGCTAGCCACTAAACCACGACATATATCCCCACTAAAGTAGGAGGAAAGATGAGTTTAAACTGTGTCTTGAATATATTTCACCAATTGAAACGAAAATTTACTTTTTTTTATTTACACTGTTATGGTAGGTACATTATAAAAAATAAATTGAACTTCACGTACTCGACTGGTTAAATAATGCACAATTAAACAAAAATAATATTTTAAATGCTATGAACAAAGCATAATTTTAATTTAATATCTCCTAACACCTCTTCCATATATAGCTTTGTAATTATTGTAGTCATGACATCCTATTGAGTATTGACATGACATTTTCAAGGCTAGTAATGTATGTTGGAGGACAATTCAATATGTACTATATTTTTGCATGATTTCTTTGACTTAGAGTGTAGATTTTCTTTTGTAATCAAGCTATAATTAGTACATCAAATGTTACTGAATTGTTAAAATGTGTATGTATGTATACAATATACATAAATTGAAGTAACAATAATAAAGTATCTTTTATAAATACCTATGTTGGGACATTAACACACATATATCATTCATATCATTTACTTGTGACTTATAATGCATAAGCCAATGCATATATTTTAGGCATGTTTGAAATAAGTCAACTCTCCCAAGTGACTATTATTAAAGACCCAAACAATAAAGCAATTCTAATGTCTTTCAATTTTATAAAAAGAAATAGTTTTATTAATTGATTCAATAAATAACAACATTATATAATACAATAATTTAAAAATATTGAAGTTTATGTATTTTAAATTCAGAAGTCAAAAAAACTAAAAAAAATACAAAACCTAATAAAAACAAATCCGAGATGGTTCAAAACATTAAAATCCTCTGCATACCTTTTCTTTGTATAACATTTAAACCTCATTAACATACAATGTAATTTATATTCAATAATTCAAGTACAGAAATGTAGTTTGGTACATACCTGATAAATTCAGATAGTGTTCTTTCAATATTCATAAGATTATACTCACAGAAACTGACTTCCTTGAGAAAATCCAATACCATTAAAACCTTCTTTAAGTTTAGGGTCATTAGCTAGCTTTTCACATACATAATCAACTTGTGCATTAGGAAACATGAAATAACCGTTCTCTAAGTCCTCCACAGTTGAGTTACCAATTCTTAAAGATTGTACATAAACTCCCGGTATTTCTTTTTCTAGATAAGTTTTAAAATATCCTAAACTGTATGCCATACAACATGTATCACCTACAAGAATAAAATGATAAAAATTATTTATGAAATATTTTTTTTACAATTAAATATCTTATAAATTATAGTTTCTAGACCTTACCCATTCCATGCCACAAAACTATAGGTGTGGGTTCAGCAGATAGATACTTTAATAATAATAGAACTATTAACCACTTCATTTTATTCTATTTACTGCCGTTTGTTTTCACTGGGTTTATTTTATAAAACCTCAAATATAAATTAAAATCAATAAGTATATTTTTTGCATTGGAAGTAACGGATAAAATTTATTATAATTAAGTAATGGGAATGGAATAGCGACGCGCAAGTTGAATGAACGCAAATTATAACAAAACGGATAAAAAATTGTAAATTAAAATTATTCTCTTAGAACTTGTATCAGTAGAAATAGGGCTCACAACACTGAACACAAGTTTATCGAAGTGTTTACTGTTTAGTGTTTTGAATTTTGATGTCCAAGGCAATTTGTCATCTTGTATTTGTCAAAGTCAACTTATATTTTATAAATATACGTCAGAAGTGTCACCTGTCAAGTGAATTATGGAGTAAAAGTCGAGAACAGCGCCATCTACACTACAACTATCAAACTACAAGAAAACTCCTTGAAAACGCTTTATAGTAAATATCCACCTCAACAATAGATGGCGATGTTAAGCACAATCAGTGCAAACCTTGTTTTTTGCCCTCAGCAAACGCCAGATGGCGATACTAATAATCAGCCAAAGGTGATTTAATTTGATATAGGGTAAACTGTCAGTCATTGGACACAGCATAGTTAATGGACAGTCGCTTTTGAAAGCCAAAAAATAAGATAACAACAAACAGAGAGCGACATCTATAGTTATAGATAAAGCCTACTCAGAATTGTTGTAGTTCATAGGTTTTACGACAGGTGGCAGAAATAAAGTGACAATTATTGTTTGCCGACGACTGTCACGAAAACAGACAATCGTCTTATTCCGAGAGCTGGCGACGAATTTTTGGAAGGTCCGTTTGGCAAGTTGAAATTGTGAAAAAATATAATTTCGTGAATTAGCGAGTCCAGTCCCGCGAGTCTGGTATAGCTTTAGCGGTTATTTCGCTACTGCGCAGTATACATTTGCAAAAAAAATATCCAAAAAACATATTTTTGGCAACTTGATTTTTGTTTAATCCTTTAATTTAGCTTTCATATAATTCAAAAAAAAGAACCCCAGACGATTTTGTCGGTTATAAAGTATTGCCAGACCTCTCCAAAGACTCATTTTTTTATTCCAAAAAACATACTTTTGGCAATCTGAAATTTTAATCACGTATTTATTGAGTAATTTTCAATAATATTTGCAAATCGCCAGACGAATTTAGCGGTTTTAAACCCTTCCCAGACATAAATAAAGTTTACAAATTAGTACTACAAAAAAGTCTTTTGAGGTGTAAGAAAGATAGCTTATCGAGGTATGCCAGCAGCTGATGGGGGCCCAAGGTCCTCGCGCTGTGATTGGTTATCGAGAAACCGCACGTTTCGAGTATGGTTCGGGCTCTGCGTTCACAACAGAGTATTTTAGAGTAGTTTATTAGGGTTCCGTACCCAAAGGGTAAAACGGGACCCTATTACTAAGACTCCGCTGTCCGTCCGTCTGTCTATCCATCTGTGACCAGGCTGTATCTCATGAACCGTGATAGTTAAACAGTTGAAATTTTCACAGATGATGTATTTCTGTTGCCGCTATAACAACAAAACAATAGAATAAAATATATATTTAAGGAAGCTCCCATACAAAAAAAATGGAAAGTCCTCGGCCAAATCCTTATAAGGATAATTATCCTGGGGATGGGTGGTTTAAAGCATTTTTAAAAAGACACCCTGATATTGTTCAACGGACTAGTGAGGGAGTCACGCAGTCTAGTGCAAACATCTCAGAACTAGACATAAGGAAATGGTTTACTGAAATACACCAGTATTTAGAAGAAATCGGTCTATTGCATTTGTTAGATAATCCTAAACGAGTATTCAATGGCGATGAAAGTGGCTTTCAGTTGTGCCCAAAAACAGGGAAAGTACTGGCTGTCAAAGGAACTAAAAATGTATACAGTGTAGAGACCAATAATTCCAAATAGTCAATTATGGTCATGTTTACGTTCTCAGCTTCCGGAGAAGCCTGCCCGCCTATGGTTGTCTATAACTACCAGAAAATTCCACAAAAAAATTCTGATGGGATTCCAAAAAAAATGACTGGGGTGTAGGTTGAAGTGATAATGGATGGATGACATCGGAACTGTTTTTTGAGTATATAGAAAATGTTTTTTACCCTTATTTTGTCCAAAAAGGTATGACACTGCCAGTAATATATTTTCTTGATGGACATAAAACCCAAGATGGGTTTTTATGTCCATCAAGAAAATATATAAAATATATACTTACAGTGTCAGCAAATTATGCAAGGAATTGGGCATTGAACCTATAGTATTTTACCTAATGTATTTATTTTATGAAAAGTGATTGAAATATAATACAATGGTATACGCAACAAAATTAAAAATGTTGATGATAATGAAAATTATAATCTTACTAATTTCAGGATTTTTTTGTTATTAATTTGCATAATATGTAAAAAAAACAACATTTGAACTAATTTTTCATTTCATTTTGTTAATTTACCATTTGCAACAGAAAAAAATATATAGGACTGTTTTTCTTATTGTTAAGAGGTTTCATATATTCAATAATGTAATTCAATAAAATCAGTGACTACGGTACGTTTTATCGTGTAAGTTTATTATAAGACTTTATTAAAAAAAAAATAGCGTAGAACACTAAATGTGTAGATTATTAGTACTACCACAGATCACTCACTGAACTACCGACTATTTAGTATATATATTACGTACAATATATAACTTAAGTAGCTTTTACTGTTAAGTGTTAACCCTTAAATGTGGAATCTGATTTTGAAATATATTTTTTTCTTTTCTGAAAAAAAAAATGCTTTTATTTCAATCGCTTAATGGCATTGCATTAGCCTGCAATTACCTAGCAGGAACTCATAATTAAGCTCAAGTTAGTATCAACTATCATTATCATCATCGTGTTGATAAATGATTTTATTCATATGCCACACATATCTTTACGTTTTTCAGTTTAGCCTAACAGATTGCAATACGCCATTTTTTTATTAAATTTACAGAGTACCAGGTTAATTCAATTGAATACGACTCATCTGTTAGGTAATGGACTGAAAAGTAATTGTTCCTATTTAACGGAATGTTAAGATTTAACAAACATGATTTTCTTCATTCTTAGCTCGATATTATTTTGATGACACCCTAAGATAAGTAGCTGTGGTAGAAAAAAGTACCTATCTACTACCTATGGATATTCTTGATGATAAATAAAACCATTTACATCAGACAAAAATCATATTTTATTTCTTGGACTCGTACATACATATATGTATACACTCGAATGCTATCACACATTTTGGACTCTAGGTTTCTATTAATTTTATAATTTCAATTCAAAACAATGCGTGTTTATAACACACTAAAGTTGGTCTACTTCAAAATGGAGTTACAATTAACAAGTAAGATTTCTTATATATTTGAATTTATTTATTTTCTTCGTCAGTTTATTTTCTCCCACTATCATCACTAGTATCGGCTGTTAGTGTAATTGACACTTTATATTTATAAAAATATTTTTTTATCTTATATGATTTTGTTATATATTAGCGAACGTCTCGCCAGATACGCAACTTAGCATAACTTACACACTAAATCACTTTTTATTATTTATTCATAAATAGCAATTAGAAATTACTCTAATTAAATCACAGTCTCTGAAATTATAATCTAAAGATCGCGTTGGGATCATGTAACTAGAATTTCAGTCATAATTACATTTAATCATTATACATATTACTTGAAGTAATACGGTCCAGATAATAATTAGTGGACTAATTATTCAGTTTTAGATATCTTTGAACTCATAGTATCCTCATGGAGTCAGAATGTTTGATGATTTTATGGCCTATACTTAAGTGTTTGGGTGCGTCGAAGTAGTCGCTCGAGTCTGAAGATTCATCATGCCTCTTGCGATTGTATGAAGCTACCCTTCTCGCTCTAGTATCAGAATCATATGTAAGAGTAGGATGGAACCCCTTTCTTGATCTGAATGGAACGCGATATGGCGTACTGCTCTGCACATCTGACATAGACCTGATGTGTCTTCGTAATTTATATTCTTTAGTAAGTGGCGACAAGACGAACGCACCTTGTGATTTATTCTCTTCTACAGACCTGGAAAGAATAAAAAATTAGATTAATTTCACAAAAATGTTAATTTTGCTATATTGCATCTGAAACATTACGCAAATGCCATCATAATTTTCATGCTATCTTTATAAATAAAAATGAATACTCAAAAACTCGAGCGCAAAACTTGAGAACGGCTCGACCAATTTTCGTATGTTCCAATAAGGCATACGTAAATTTTTAATAAAGAGAATATATATAAAATAAGTTATAGTTTATATATATATATATATATATATATATATATATATATATATATATATATATATATATATATATATATAAAGTCGTGTTAGTTACAGCCGCTAGTGCTATAATAAAAGTCAATAACGTCTATTAAAGAAATTAGGACAATTAATATGGAATGATTTTTATCATCGATATATCAAGAGATAGCTAAATTAATAACTATTCATTGTTGTAATTAGATATCCAAACACAGAAGCCGCGGCAAATATATAATATTTACAAAGCGCTTTACATAAATATTTCACAAAATAAATACAGTAACAGTGCGATATGCTTATTTCATGGATTTTTCCATTATAATATTTCTACTTCTTGTCTTACTTTTCTTGTTTGTGTTAATATTGGTTTATATCTGTCATAGCGATAAAATTAATTTTACTGTTAATTATAGTATTTGTATTTTATATTATCATTAGCGGCTCACTCTCGCTTCGCTCGGGTTCGTCCGTGAAAAACAAATCTATCACACGGGAACCGTACATTTTTCAGGGATATGATAATGATATGTGCTATTACAGACTATAATCTATCTCTGTGCCAAATTTCATCCAGATCCGTTCAACTGTTCTAGCGTGATTGAGTAACAAACTTCCATCTATCCAAACTTCCGCATTTATTATTATTTTATACTAATAGTAGTAAGATAACATCGCATGTGTACATTTTATTAAATAGTTGTAATTATAATAATATACCTTGTTAATGCAAAATATAATATATTTTTTCACCCATTTTTATCAAGATATACTAATTAATAAATAAATTATTCATGAAAATGGGCGCGAGTTTTACTATAATCAAGCTGCATATTTTAATTATTCTGTGTTTAAAATGATACATTATCATAATAGATAATTAATAAATAGTAAAAGATAAATATTATATGTATTTTAATATGGTAAACATATTTATATTTCATATTATTATAAATAATAATAAAATTTATCATTCAAGTCATTATGACATTAGTGTTTATATTAATATGAAATTGTAAAATTTAATTTAATTTGTAGAAATAAAATATAAAAAATCACCTGTTTAAAAAATGAAAAATGATGTTAGGTAACACTGACATTCCAAAAAAGGTTTTTGCACTCTGGATACACCGACGCATAAACTATAAAAACAGCGCGCTTAAAACATACGCAGTAATAAAAAATATTCAAAACAAAACTATGGCCTCCAAGTCTAAGGAGTTATAAATACAACGTAGTGCGGTTGACATTTTTAATATATTAATGTATTTAATAGTACCTACTCGCAAAAATGTAATTTTGTTAAAACAGTCATTTAAAATCAAGGGTTTTACATATGAGTATCTTTTAATACGACGTTTGGCTCAGTTTGTAGTGACCCAACTTTCGGTGCCAGTGGTTGCGGGTTTGAGTCCCGCTGGGGGCATTCATTTGTGTGATGCGCACGAATGTTTGTACTCCAGTCATGGGTGTTTATATTTATAACATGTATGTATTTAAAAGTTATATAATATGAGTAGCGTATCAACTACCTGGTATCCATAACACAAGCCTCATAGCTTGCTATGGAACTAGATGGTGCTGTGTGTTAATGTCCCAAAATATTTATTTTATTTCTTTTATCTATACATATAATAAAATTCCAACTGAACATTAAATATTTTTTGGAAAATCTTATTGAAATAGACATTATTATCGATACAGAGGCCGAATCTATAGTTTTTAGAATTTTTGTCCGTCTGTCTGTTACCGCATCACAGAAAAACTTCTGGAGGGATTTTGATGAAATTTGGTATGTTCATAGCTGGTTATCCGGGTCAAACATATAGGATACTTTTTACCGCGAGAAAATGTCTCATTTTTGAAAAAAATTAAAAACTGCAATATGTAAGAGTACTAATATGTAAAACCTAAGAATTTGGTTTTTGGTCATCTGAACACGGGCGGAGCCGCGGGCAATGCTAGTTATATAAATAAAAGCTGCAACCTGCGACCTAGGTACTGCACTTTTTTCGTATCCTTATAACTTCAGTTATCGAGTGATTTCCTATTAAAAGCATATTTAAGTTCAAAGTCTAATTTTCTTAAAAAATAGTATTTATAGACCCAATTACAATTTTATTATATCATATTTAGATTTTCAGATTGTAAACAAAAACTAAGTGCTTCCCTAATGGCTAGATGATGTTGTGTCTAACTTTAGGTTAATTAAGCTATTACACTATCTGACATCGATTAAAACTATATTACAATATTGTTTTTATCCTTATTCATTTGAAATACTTATTACTGTGAATCATTACTAATATTTTTATCTTTATACAAACATACATACATATTTACATACATACCTACTAGACATACTATAATAACATAATAATATATAACATAATAGACTACCTATTTAGACATGAACGAATTAGCCACATTCGTTCATGTATTTAGATTTAATGAAGAGTTACAAATATTGTTTTTAGAATTTCTAACAGATTTGTGTATTTATGTAACTGTAACTTATTGTTACATAATTGCAAAAAAGAGAAATCTAAGTTTTTTTTATTTATGTCAATCAAGTCTACCAACATAAAATATTCGTGAATATAAATCAATAAGTAAATATGTTTGTTATTTCTTCATAATGTAATTGCTTAACGAATATGAGTGAATTCAGAATAAAGATAGCTTTTATCTTGAAGCACACAGATTACTTCTCATTAACGGTCAAATAATACTTAAATTCAATATAGATAATATTGATGACTAGTAAACATTTTAATAATTTTAAAATAATATATAAAAAAATTATTATCTTATACGTATATTTTATTAACATTTAGGTATGTGTCTTAGTCAAAAAAAGCAAAAATTTATGATAAAAGGCATCATAACATAGAAAATAGATATTACCGACAAAATTAGTATCCTACTAATCATTATATATAATAAACGCGAAAGTTTATGAGGATGGACGGAAGGATATTTATTACTCTTTCGCGCAAAAACCACTGAACTGATTTTGATAAAACTTTACAGTAATATAGCTTAAACAGCATAGTAACTCTTAGGCTATAGACTATAATACCTATATAATTGCATTACGCAAGCAGAGCCGTTACCTATACTCGTATGTTTACGAAATACTAGCGACTCATCCTCGCTTCGCTCGGGTTCGTCTCTAGCTTGATTCCACATACAAACGTTCATCCCCATTTTTTACCCCCTTAAGGGATGACTCCCGGGGTAAAAAGTGTCCTATGTCCTTCCCAGGGTCTCAAACTATCTTACCAAAATTTCATCTAAATCGCTTCAGTTGATCCAGAGATTACCCCCTACAACGTTACGAACACACAAACTCACAAACTTTACCTCTTTATAATATTAGTATAGACAAAGCATGAGCAAGTTAAACTTGTTTCTCTGTAACATTACTATCTATTAATATTGACACAGTTATTAGCATTTTATACTTAAGTTCCAGTCAGTCATTCAAAACAATATTTATACTCCATTAGCTTATTGTTTGTTGTGTTGTGCCAGACCATTAACCACTGCCGTTTAACTTAACATAAACTGTCCGTCTGCATCATTGTAAAAGCACTATATGCGGTTAAAGTGTATTTATATCGTACGAGCAAGCGTTTTCGTCATATTTTGCTAATGCAATATTATACCTATCGATTTCCTGTTTTAATTAATCTATACTCTATACTAATATTATAAAACGAATTTTTTTTTGTACCTTTGTTTGTAATGGATAAATTAATAAACCACTAGACCAATTTTAAAAATTCTTTAACCTATCAAAAGCTACATTATCAGCGAGTAACGTGGGTCTTATTTTATTTTCAAAAAATTAGAGATCCCCATGAAAATTGCAATAATGTAATCTAAGGTATCAAAAATTGGCCTATAACAGCTAGGGACGAACTCGAGCGAATGAAAGTGAGTCGCTAGTATCATTATACTACCTATTTAAAACCAAATCACTTCCGAAAACACAATAATTGGATTTAAAACAATTATATAGGTGGGTAATACAGATATTTATAATGCCTTAATGCTATCATGTCTTCAAAGATATCAACCAATGAAATCTTACAACTAATTAAAAAGAAACATTATATTTAACAGGTATAATGCCTTTTGCCTTTAAGTAAAATAATTGTTATTAGATTGAAATTGACGGCCATTGTGCATTACAAGTTACAACAAGATGTTAAATTGTTAAGACTATCAGTATCAAGGCAATTGACTCTATTTACATATTCTACATATATACAAGTTCACGATTTGTTGAGAAATAATAATATGTTATTAGCGTACGTTCACATTGTATGAAGGTTATGCGACAAGCAAATTATTTTTATCAAATATTCATATAGTGAAATTAATACATACTAATATTATAAATGTGAAAGTGTGTTTGTTTGTCCTTCTTTCACATCGAAACGAAGTCACGGATTGGCGTGACTTTTTGAACGGAGATAGTTGAAGGGCTGGAGAGTGATATATGCCACATTTTACTGCGGGTGATTATCTCATTCCCACGGAAAAAACACGTTATAATACAACCTTAAGAAAATATTTATGATCAGAATTACTTGAAACTTGATATTAATGCTCTTCAATATAATTAAATAAATACGTGTTTTAGCATTTTCTACAAAATTCATCCCATAAGGGTAAAATAGGGGATGAATTTATCTATATATTTATCTTCTAAAATAATTAATAAAACAATACGTGTATCGGATTTTTGCA